CGGCTAGCAAGAAGCTTAGAACAGAAACAAGAAAAAAATTCCAAAGAGCCGACTATAATGATTAAATTATTTACTGCCACTTGATTTAATCTCCAAAATGCTCATCCAAGTTTCCAGTCAAGATGAAATGATAACATGTTCATTTTATATGTGATTTTGTAAAACTTAATTAGTGAACCTGGTGGCAAAAAAACTGTAAGTTAAGCTGTCACAAAATGAGCGCAAAGGAGGACAGAAAGCATAAAAAACCCTGCTTCCAGTCTTTAAAACAGCACCAGACACACAAAAAAAAAAAAAAAAATCAATAAAGCAGAGATAATAATGTAGAGATTCAGTATGGCATTCAGAGGGTATAACTAGTCATATTACTTTCTAATTGTGATATCTGACCCACTTCCTCTACTGGGTTTACCTGGTTATTTTCCACGTCTCCCTCGTTTCCGTTCTCCTCGTTGCCAGACACACTGCTGGTCTCTGTATATGACTCTAAAGGACTGTCAGACCGCTCCTACAAAGTTCAATATATCTATATAGCAACCATCCACCACAGCTTCCTATCACACCCAACACAATTGCCCCGTCACAACTAGCACAATTATATATGCCTATACTGTCCTGTGCTAATTTTCAACATCAACCAAGTGCCCTGTTATTTTAATTCATGCCTTAACAGATGAGCAAACAGCAAATCTTAAACAGAAAATATGGTCAATACCAATACAGTGACATTTTGCTTAACAGTACAGTTACTTCGTACATGATTTATGTCTGCTTTAGTACAAATAAATTCAGTATCACTATGTCAACTTCAATATTGTGCTATATAAGACTTTGCCTACCTTTTTCAGAGACTTTTCATCTAAATCACTACAACTGTCATGACGGCGCTTCTCACTTTTCACCTAACGGTCAGAAATAAAACATTTAGCATTTATCTGAGATTTAGCAAAGTGGAGACTGTATGAAGATACACAAGACTGAGACTCCATTCAGTGAAAAAGTCTGAAAATGTGGCAAGGGGTTAATTTGCAATCAAGAAACTGCAATGAATGGAGGAAGAATGGTAAACAGAAGCTGGGCTGTCCATGCCACATTCTGATATGAAGACAAAATTAATGTACTTGTAATTTATGACATGAAAAACAAGATTAAATGTGACAAACATCATCAAACGTCATTAAAAATAACTTTTTGTTATCTAAAAGGAATAAAAGTAATGGTATTTGGTATCCAGTGGTTTTGGTAGTCCCAGGGATCAAAATCAAATCAAAATGCATACACTGGTAAGGTAAAGTCTGGTTCTTAGAAAACAGCATTCCTCTCGGTCTGGCATGTTTCTGGACCACATCCTCTTGCTCTCTTCGCAGAATCTCTAACCACAAGACCATCTTCTAAGCTTACACAATAACACTGAACCTACCTTGGGTTTTCTTTCCTTATCCACACTACTCGTACTACAACTGCTCATCTCTCCCGGAGAGTTCCGCCCAGTTTTTTGTGAACTAGAAGAACTGTTCAGCGGGCTGTCAACATTGTCTGGGCTACTGGTACTGGCTCTCTCTTTCTTCACTAAGTCTTTTATCTGGAAAAAAAAGTGGAAAGATAAAGAGTTTACATCCGTTAATGGTTGTTTACACTAAAATAATAATGATAAAAGTCATTCTTGTGTTAATTATGGATAGAATTATGGCTGCAAGATTTTTATGCACTTAGTTTGATAATCTGTTACAAATGCTCTCCCTTTCTCCCCTCCCTCTCTCACTGTCTGTCTTTCTCTCTCTCTCTCAAAGTTTTAACACAGTCATGACAGGCGCTACAGAATCAGAAATGAATTGATCTCTCACATACCTGATCTTTACTTCTTCTTGTTCGCATTCTAGGGGGGTCATCATCTTCCCGTACAGGTTTGAACAAAAATGGCGGAGGCTCTGGGGTTTTGTCTAACGGTCTATCCTCACCGTATTTCTTAAAATGCAACCGACAGTCTGTACAGAGCAATGCCTTGTCCCGGCCAGCATGATGCCAATCTTTTGAACCTGGTGGAAGGAAAAAAGAAATTTACACATCACCACCTTCTGAACCTGAAGGAAAAGTAACACAGATCTTCATCCACCTCAGTGTTGATAATATGGTGCAAAAAAATCCATGGAAAAAAGACAAAATATTAGAAAAATGTTAACATAAAAACAGATTTTCTAGTAGTTACAAATCCCACTGCAATAAGACAGGAAAAATGTAAAAAATGTTTCACAATTTAAATTGACTGACTGCTTTACTTTATTCAGGCAAATAAAAAGGTTACAAACCTAAAAAGAAAATGGCAGAAAGATAACCAATTAAAAACCTCTCTAGTAAAAATAGCAAATGTAAAAACCACTTTCATACCACACTGTGGTATAAGTATATTAGTCTAATAAAAAAAAGAGTGACTGAAATTTAAAATAAAAGAAACTTAAAGTAACAGATGATGCAACTTACTTGTTGTGAAACAGCGTCTGCAGCAATAACCGCTTAATGATCTGCTATCACTGTCGTCAGAATCGTTGTCAGTGATTTCACTTGCTGAACTGAGATCAACTATAAAATAATAACAATAAAAAAATATCTATAAATGTCATCAACTTTTCCCTCAAAGAATTTCCTAGCAGCCTTTGACTTTTCAGTTTTGCACACTGTGGTCTTAACACAATTTCATGCACTTTCTCCAAAAGATTTCCCAAGCTTTTTTTTTTACAATGTTTATACAACAAAGTACATTATATAGAACATGTATACTAAAAACTGTGACAGTCACAAGCAACTTGGTTCAATATTTTAACACAACATGTAATACATAATTTATTCAGCTATTAGAGCCATTTCTATCACCATAAACAAGCCTGTATCACATAACTGGAATAATAAGCAAATAACCGATGCTGTTTTTATAATGTCACACTTCTTAAATTTTTGATGCACAGGACTGGTGCACCAGTGACAAATATCTAGATATTTCAACTCATTAAACAGGGCAATCCATATATCTGAAAACTCTACTAACCTTATAATTCAACAGTGCCAAAACTATCAGACAATGGGCATTAAATGTGAACTGATTAAAATTCTTCACATGAAAACATAAACTGAACAGCTTTTAAAACAAAGCACAGCCTAATTCAGGCAATCTTTTTTAGCTGTCCAAAACAAACAAAACAAGCCTTTTAGATTCAAAATCATTACTTACAAAATTCACTAGAAGCAGGTCTTGAAGAACGCGAAGAATTCTGTCTCCTGAGCACACTCTGTCTCCGGTGACGTCTATGCGGTCTAGATCCCACAGCTTGGGGCGTCTTCTTCCAGTAGTAATAATACTCAACTAAGTCACCCTGAAGAAAAAAATAACAATGCTTTTAATACATCCATAAAAGCCATATTTTATTTATTTTTACCTATAAGAATTGGTTTCCTGGACTTCTAAAAGAGTAATTTCATCCAATCCACAATTACTTTTCTTAGAACCTAGAACTGAAACATTGATACAGACTAACCATGACTTTCCATATGAAACATTTGTGGTGAATCCGGTTCAAATATCAACACATTATCACAAGAATTATGATCCGCAAGTCAAGCATGATACATATGTGACATAAGTGGGATAGAAATGGGATCCAACACGAGATATTTAATCACCAGATGTGAAACTGTTATCTCGTAAGACGACGCCATTTGAACTTTTCATATAACACCAAGGTGCGCTATTAGCACAGGCATGGCGCAGAAAGGCATTGCCCATTATCAACCTACCTGGAGGAAAAAAACTTCAAAGCCTGCTGTTTGCCCCTGCTCAAGATTACAAGAAGACTGATTTTATACTTTCTTAAGTACAGACGCCATGGGCAGGCCACAGGACCCCTAAACTCTCTCATATGCTATTTTTCAAAATGCCACAGAAAATTCACATCCATCACGTACATCAGAGAATTCTCTAAAAATACTGCCAATATGGCACTCTTATCTAAATTCAAAATTCTGATTTGAATAAAATTACTTTAAGCTTTTGGTTTTAAACAAACTCGAAGCTAGACCAAGCCCAGGCAGGGGAGCTGGTATCAATTCCCGGGCATTTCCAATAGTATAGCTTTTATTTTACGGTCTAACCAGCAGCGTAAGAAACTCATCGTTATCCCTCCACAGCCTCAAGGCGTTTATATGCAGCCATCCGTATAAGTCGACCTTTCAGTAAACTAATGACATGATTAGCGGCAAAATCCACTTCATTCCCAACTTTATTGATTTTTATTTTGTGCTTAACACCAATAAATAATAACCGGGCCCTTGTGGAGATTGGACTTCATTTAGAGAAGTAACGGAGCGGAAGAGGGAATCACAGCCCTAATTTACTGTCAGCTTAGGGTGGAAATCCATAGTTTGAGTTCCCTAGGAATAAAGCTGGATCAATAGACAAGTTTGTTTTAACTATTGAATCACAAGCCGCAACTCTAACCCAGCGCAATGTTGTGTATACGACCTTGATGGTGTCTGCCAGACTAGAATACGGTTTCTGGTCGCGGCTGTCTAAAGGCTTTTTCTGCTGATATCTTAGTACTTACAATGGAAATTACAATCTTCATCTAAGAATTCTACACCAGATAAACAGCTTATGCTAACAGTATGTGTGTGTACACATTAGAGAAAAATATACAACCTCACTCAATAAGAATTGAAGTGATTGTCCAAATTTTCACAAGTGAAAAAAGTTACAGTTTTTAATTTATTTACTCAAGTATTTATATATTTTCATTATCATTCATTTCATATTTTTTCATGTATTTTTAACCTTTAGGGGAAACTGTCTGAACAAAATTAATTTTTTATTCTATGATCTTGTTGTGAATTATCTAGTGAATAATCAATCCTGCATAATACATTTTCCATACCTGCTGCTAATAAGACCAAAACTGAGGGTTATCTATTATTAAAACCACTCAAATAGGATTCACCTCTCAAAACTACAAACTTGGTCTTGGCTGTACAAATTAAACAAGTCAGGCAGCATAATATGAACATGCAGGGATACAGGTTAAAGTTTTTTAAACTCTTGATTCCTTTAAATATTAGAAGTCTACTTTTTCTTGGAAGGAACATTTTAAAACTACATACATATTAATAAAGTGAATGAGTCTGAAAGCATCACATAAGCACAGCAGCTGTTATATTTTGTCACAAAAATAGAGTACAATATTTTACATGCTTGCACTTTTCAGATGGCAATAATGATAAAATGACTGATCAGTATTTTCTCTACCAAACTCTGCACACTTCAGCGCGCGCGTGCGTGCACACACACACACACACACACACACACACACACACACACACACACACACACACACACACACAACAATGTCCTACCCAAGCAGAGTCAAGCCATTAAGGTAAAAAATTTCTTTTGAAACTGACTTTTTATGTAATCTTTTGTGCAGGTTTACAAAGGTGGCACCTGGCCCGGGCTTAACTCTCAATACAGACTGCAATACAAGTCGTACAACTGTGCGTAAATATTTGCACAGCACCAACAATGTCAAGTATGCTACAGACTGGGGGAGAAATGAATAAATAACCTGAGATTACAACTAACACCGACTGCCTGGCTGTGGAATACAGGTAGCCATGCGGGGTATAGACATAAGCAGACATACACAAAAGCGAGTAGCTGCATGCATGCCAATTTGAGCTCAAACAGGCTTTTCTATGGCACAACTTGTTCAGCATATAAAATAGTTTGGGCTGCTGAAATTTTAAGAGGTTTGGTATATTATTGACAACTTAAACTTGACTCGTAGATACACTGTTTATTTGACTGAAACAAACAATAGCCCACCACGTATCACTGCGGTCATTATGCAATATAACAAAAGTAAGGCTGCAGTAGTCAAACAACTACATGGCCATTTTAGACAATTTACATTTCAAAACTCAATTAATGTCAAAATGCAGGTAGCTTCCCACTAACCAAACAGGATGTACATGAATAATTGAGATTAATTCTCATTTTAGCTTTTTGCAAAACATCCTAAGCAAATACATGTTATTTTCAGTAAGACAAATTAGTATAAGTACTTAGATTTTCCACTTTTGATAGCCAGTATTTCTTCACTTTATTTTATTTTTTTAACTCATATTCATTTTATTCAACTTTTTGTCACTGTTAAAAATCCTATAAGAAAACTTGAAAACTACAGTACAAGAGCTCTCTGTACAGTAAGAACTCTGTACATTATTTTTTTTCATTACAATTCTTTTTCATCTCTTCATATGGCAAGCAAAACTAAGAAAATAAGCAGTTGCTTCTAATTTTCTCTCTCTTGAAGAAATGACAAATAAGTTATAATACAGAGAAATAATATCACAGCTGTGGGAAAAAATCTGCAAAACATCCATCTACATATAAATAAAAACATGTAGAACACCCATCTACAATTAAATTTGCTCAGTATATCAATTCAATTATCTAGCAAACAGGCAAGCACCAGCATGTAGTTGTACACTGACAAACACAGACACCTTCCCCTTCCCTCTCCTCCAAAACATTTTGATATATATGCACATTTCAGGCATGCTATGCCTAATGCTCATAGTACATCTGTAGCATTTCCATTAGCAACTGCATATATGATGCACAGCTGCAATGCACACATATACACAGGCAGCATATTCAACGGGCATGCACGCACATGCACAGAGTTGACGAGCTACTAGGACTCTAACAGTACTCAGATGCATTCAACCCTAAGTAAACAATACCACACTGCCTGAGCGTATCAAGCATATCACAACCCATAGTCAACCTGCAGCTGTCACTGTACTTGACACTTCCTTAATAGTCTCTTAATTAACCCCAACACCTGACCACTCTTGTCCACCTACCTGGTGAGAATGAACTGACCACGGTGCCCATGAATTAGCGTCACCAATCAAAGCACTGATATTCAGCTTGTTCTAAAGACCCAATTCAGACTGGTTAAAAAATTCAAAATGGCTGACACATGAGCCGTCTGCTGGTTGGCTAGGCAAGGATATGCTAATCTTATCAGAAGGTATAATCTTGCTGGCATTAAAGCAAAACGGCAGTGTGGTAAAGAGGGCTTAATTGGAAAATATGGCAGATTAGAGGAAATAAAACTGCTCTTTGGGTCGCTATCAGGTAGGCGGCTGTCAATTGTGGCTGGCGCACACAGCACAAGAGGGTTTTAGTGAGAGCAAGGAAAGAAAGAGCAGGGTCAATGGAAATGTATACTCTGTTTATATGCACAGCGTGTATACCTGGGGTGTAGATGGGAGAAATACTGGAGAGAAAAAGGAGAGAAAAACGAGAGAAACATGTGTACTGTGACACAGCACTCTGATCTACAGCTGGCATTTTCTACAGCAGATCAAAGGAAGAAATTCAACCTTTTTTTTTAAACTAAATTAAATCATCAAATTTCTATGACTATTATATACTCAATAAAGGCAAATGCATCAAAGTTCTAGATAATAAAAATAATTTGAAGAAATAAAAATAGGGAAAAGTGGAAACAAAGGTATGAAGAATTTAAGGATTCATATAAGCAGAGTCATAATCATGTAAATATAGGTAAAATAATCAGATATAAGCTTTCATACAATGAAGAGCAAATTTCCGCTTTTGAAAATACCACAGGTATAAACAGATTTATTTTCTAAAAATAAAGCACAGAGGTATATGTCTGCACCCATTAAAAGTTGCAGCAGTTAAATAGACACACTGGCTACAGAGCATTTAAACAGATCAATTATAAAAACAAACACTTGTAGGCACACATACACATACACATGTGTACACACACACACACACACACACACACACACACACACACACACACACACACGTAAAGAATCACAAACTTTTACAGATTGCCTTCATTTCAAAAATATTAAAATAAACATTTTCACTCTCCACAAGTTTATATTATAGACTTTTCTAACATCCAAAGCCAAATAAACTAAACTCATACATCAAAAGAACATGCTTTTGCATTATTCTACTACTGTAACATTATCAGCTGAATCAAACACGCTGCAAAGCATGAAAACGACAGTGTATATATTTTCATATCAAGTTAAAGTAACTTGAGGTATGTCCATACATCCTTCTCAAATGTCAATCATAACAAGGTTTATCAAATTAGCAGACAGATAACATGTTAGCGTGTCAATTGACTTAATTGCACTTCTGCCCAGTCACTTGCTTAGTGACTCGTAGCATTGTCAGTTAAGCATTTAATGACACGATGATCTGACCAGATGGGTGGGAAAATCACACATCCTCAACTGAAGCTAACGTGTCATAAATAGAATTGTGAATTCTTTTTCTACAAGAAAAAAGGAAACTTCTGATGATATGGAACAATTATCTTTTTATAATTTTCACACAAAGCGGTGCTTTTTCCACTGAGAATGAATCATCATACTCAATCACAACTTTTTTTTTTGCTTTTACCTGATTTTCATAATCACCATGCAGAAATAATATCTGTATAAATGAATTATGACATTGGACACATGAATTACCACTTTGAGCCTGATCAGGTTTCTCGCGCTACAAAAACTAAGAATGAACACCTTTGAGGTTTTATCTTCTTCGTAAAACTCTGAATAAATAAAAGGAAAACCATGTCTATGTTCCCTACTACTCTTCACTGATTTGGTTCAAATGTCCCATCTGCCTGGCTTCTTTTGATATTTTGCTGGGACAAAACACTCTGACCCGAATAAAGGCTGTGATAATGAGGCTGCAGTGTTTGGAGTTAACTGGTGAAAACTAGGTAATTTACTCACCGTTTCTTTGTGCGACAGCAGTTCTTTTCTAATCCTGAAGAAGTTTTTACCATATTGCCTCAATCCCTTCACAAAGCGTTTCTGAAAGCAAAAAAACATTACTGCCATGAATAAAGGAAATAGCACTTTGCGAATTAAGAGCAGTCAAACAAATAGAACATTCAATTCCCAAGCCAGTTTGACTCGGAAGTTGCAATTTAGTAAGTGTTTTGTATTTTTACAACATGCTGCCTTCTCTTAATGTTTTAGTATTTGTGCTGATAGTTTTTCTAAACTCTTAAATGACTTACTGGAGAGTGGAAAGTTTCATATTTAAAAAAATACATTTATTCTATGTTTCAATACACAAACTTTTGTGCCCTCTTGGACCCCCCTCCCCACCAAAACCACACAAACATGCATGCGCGCGCACACACACACACACCATGTAATATATACTATACATTATCATAATAAATTCTAAGACCAAGTCTTCAATCCTGTGTAGAGCAAAAGAGTTGGCATCTAAAGAGCCTAGGAATACTTTTTTAACGTAGCAAGAATTCTTTTAGAAACTGGCAAATATACATATATACACATAAAGCTGATTTGAGTTAACAAGTTTCAGTAAGCAAATACTCCCAGAAACTTGAAACATAACATTCAGAAAACAGCACACATCTCTACCCATGTACAATATACAGGCAAGTAGTTTATCTAGGGAATCTATTAGATTGTTCTGACCTAGCAAACCTTGTTTTTGTAAAAAGGTCTTGATCTGAACACACAGCTTTAGGCAGGAAAACACTCCATGATATCCTGACACAACATTTACATTAAACCAATTACTGTCAAGAATTTAACACTTCCTCTGGGCAATGAACTCACATGGTACCATAGGTCTACCTACAGTACATGGCTTGGCAACAACTACCTTTTTAATTCAACTCCTTTAGATTTTATCACTCTCTATTACATCTCTTCGTCACTAAGATGTAATCAAGTAGGCAGGCAGGTGCATCATGATGTCTTTTTTCAATTTTTTCCTGTACATCTTTCACATATGGTTTTGGACAGAAATTGCACTAACTTATGATTTCTTTCAATTACTGATACAAAGCAGTGCAGTTTACAAGATAAAAACAACAAAAATAATTCTCATAAAAATATCCCAAACAACACAATAAATCAAACAGAGGGAAGAGAGCTAATCAAAAACCCAAGACAACCCAGAAAACCCAGTCACCACATACCCTATGCAATTATGGCACAACTGACACAATAATGTCACATCCAACACATTAATGTCACACCCAACACATTGATGTCACACCTAACACACTCCAATCTGGCACACATACCACCAGGAGGAACTTACAGAGTCTTCCTCTGTCCACTTCTTGTCAATTCCTCTGGGTACTGGACACTTGACCAGAGCCTGCAGAGCTCCTCCGGTGTTATACCCACTGTTGTGCAGCTGAGGAGATAGCAAAAACAGGCAGATGTTAGAATAATAATAAAGCATTGAGCACTTTTGAACAAAACACGTGCGACAGAAATATTAAACAGAGACTATCAACTCGCACAGCTCACATACGATACGTTAGTTACATAAAATTTAATAACCTATAAATTGCACTTACCTATATAAAATTACAAATATATGAATAAACATATACATGAGTAAATAAAGATAATTCTTTTATATGAATGTGTGTATGAGTGCTTACAATATTAAGAGCGTTGACAGTTGTATCGTCCATGGATGCTGCCTGGCAACCGTCTTCTGCTGAGCCGCCATCACACATTCCAGCAAACGCAGCCATGCTTCTGCAACATAATCAGTCGAGATGATTAACTTAGATATCTTAGACATCTCGTTTTCTGATAGCCTACTTAAGGCCTATGGTAAAGACAAATATTGCTACTTATGGAAGATGAAAGATAAAATACTTAAAAATGTACATACTGAATAGTTAACGTAATTGTCTTTTTTGATAGTCCTTTTAACTACAACTGGCCAGGGCAAATGCAACATTACTCTGCTTGAGAAAAATTGAATATAAAGTACTGAGACAATTCACAGAAATATCTTGCCTTCATACTTTCTACAAAATGGCCATAACAAGATAACAACCCTATCAACATTATTTTTCTTTCTTTTTTTTCTTTGCAGTCTTATATCTTCATCAATTGCAAATTTTAAAATATTTTAAGAATTTTTATTTCACATATCAATGCATCATTGTCTACTTCTTCATTTAATATGTAATGCAATTTATACATCGTCATAAAATGTGGCAAGGAAATAACCAGTCAGTATCAAATTTTAATGAAAGAAGTTACATGTATGAAACCAACACAAAGCATTTTCCCCCCATACAGAGCATGTACTTTGCTTGATTATTTCCTCTTTTTCTTTTCAGTAAACCAGCATGTTACTCTGTACCTGATGTGACAGACTGTTTAATTATATATTTGATGAATGTAACTCTAAAACAAAGAACTTCTTTAGGGCAAACATTAAGCGATTATTTACATGTTTAACAGCATCATTTAGAACATTTCTCCTTTTTTTCACAACTGCTCAGCTTTAAACTGAAAACATTGAAAACCACAATCTGCATACAATGGGCATAATTATGTCTAACGCGCTTACATTAGAATTATTTACGACAACTCTGAATCAAAGCACTGGTTACTACCGACGTAATCAGTCAATTGATTGGATAACATGATGTGCATTCCCTGGCTTAATTACAATTAACAGATTGGACACAGAGCAGTCAATAATAATAATAATAAACTCGTGTGAAACCCAAGACTGATTGGTGAGGGTTTTAAACAAGTGTGTTCAGACATGATGATAATCCTGAACCGAATTGTTGTTTGATTGCTCCAATACACAACTGATACAGTAATATCATATGTAGTATATAACAAGACATGTGCTTGGACTCAATGCATTTTTTAAAACTTCAGACATGAGCTGGCTTAGAATTACCATGTCTGAACACATCTCAAATCGCGTATAAACGCGCCCAATTCCCTTAAGCAATCTGACACATCGAGATTAAGCCTGCTCTTTGTTCTGTCACATCAAATTATTAGGATGTAATATCCATCCAAACGACAATGGTCTGAATAATTAATGCATTAGAGCTACACATGTGCTTTATAGCACTGAGCTTGGCAAAGTTAATTGATCCTTGTAGTAAGGGCTTATCACAGAGGAAGGGATGAAACAATGACAACGTCATGAACGAGTAATGAAGAAATTAAGAAAACAAATGGACTTTTGTGTGTGCGTTTGAGTGTGAGATAGAGAGAGAAAAAATGAAGAAGCAGGAAAGAAACTTGATAAAATGAGAGAGAGAGAGAGAGAGAGAGAGAAAAGCAAGAAAGAAACTTGATGAAATAATAGAGAAAATATTCAGCATACATGAGCATAATAAGACAAATGGGAACTCAAACCTGAGCAGAGAAGCATAAAGTTTAAATCAGGTCAGAGAGATTTCTTGAACTGTTTCTCACACGCGAAAAATAAATTGATGAGAAATAAACTTTTCCTGCAGTACTGTACTACCAGAAATGGGCAAACATCACCATTCAAAAACAACCTTCCTACACGCCCCAAAGACTCCCCCCACTGTGTTAAGTAACAAGACAGGTTTCATGGAGCATGTTCAATTGCTCCCCACTTCTAGTGATTGTCATAAAACACCAATGTTTTACTTCCTTGGGCCCATTAACTAAAGAATTGAGCACTCAGTTGGGGTAAATTGCCTCTGTGTGTTATTTATTTCTTTCAACTCTACAGAATTTTGCCGACAGCTGTGGGGCATGCGGGAGATTTATGTAGCGAGGATGCTCCATTTATCACTATTAAACACACATAGGGCTGTGGGGGTCAGGGAGATGATTACCTGAGCATCTGAGAACATCACAAAACCTCACCTTTACCTTAACCACTGCTATCTGATTCATACCTGTATACATACTGCTCTGTTTAATATGGATTGTGCTGTCTTATACATATTGATCTGTCTAATACATATTGTATGTGTTGATCTGTTTAAATACTAAGATGAATGCACATTTGCTTTGTTCATTTGTTGATAATATAATGACCCACAAAATCCATACTGTTGTCTAATACCTTTTGCTTTGTCTTTTATAAACTGTCTTGTTTAATAAATATACGTGTGGATATATATTTACTGCACAATGCAGTGTCATATATAAACCATTATTTCACTTTACTTGGGTAAAATATATTAATTCAGGTTAAATTTCACAGTAAGATTCACAACCTTTTACTTATGTTCAACAATTTAATCAAAAAGAGAATATTCTACCTTGTTTCAAATAAATAGAATAAGGAATCAGGCCCTCATAATTCACCATGTGGGTTAATTTGCATTGAACACATGACGGATAATTTGGAAATGGTTGTTGAAGAAATAATTCATGGATCTGAACATGATCAAATGGCGAGACCTGCATGCAATGTTTGCTTTCAATAATGAAAAGCTTTGAATTGTATACCTGCCTGTCTGACTAACATTAATACCAACTGCTGAAGGCAATTAGCTTTTAACCCAAACAAGTCTATGAAATGAAAATTTGCTGGTTCCTAAACCTAATGTTAGTATAAATTTTTAGTATTATAATTATGTTAGAATCAAATTTTCATGGGATATCACTGATCATTCCATTGGCACAATTTGAATATTTTTTTTTGGTCCAGATTAATCCTTTCTCACCAGCTAGTAAAACAAAAATAGACCAGGACATAGGGAGGGGAGGTCCATGGGGGGGGGGAGAGAGAGAGAGAGAGAGAGAGAGAGAGAGAGAGAGAGAGAGAGAGTAGGTGTACATCGCTCCTTACCTAGCTGCTCTAAGGAACATCATGAGGTCGACATCAGCAATGGCTCCTGCGACCCAGGTCAACTCCTCTCTGTCTGAGCACCGCTCTGGCATGTCCTCTGGACTCACATCTGGGTGGCATTCGGGGAGCCGAGCCTGTAGTTAAAACAGAAACTAACAAATAATGTAACATAACATAACATCTTCCACTGACCAAACCTTAGGTTAAAGGTGTCAGCTGTAAGAATTTGACAGAAGAGTGGTATATGACACACTGTTCAAGATTCTCTACCAGTGCAAACTAAGTCTTTGGGATGACATGCAGGAACTTTTCTCCTAACTAAGATACCATTTGATAATGAAGCAAAATGTAAATGTGTATTTACGAAACATCTCGTGCACAGAGAAAATCAGATTTTTATCACAAGTCTATGATTTTAGAGAAGAAATTTGATAATTTGTTTTACAAGCTAATAAATGTTTTGTTTTCAAACACTCTTTCACCCGAGTTGAGGGAGTGTCAAATGTGACCAATACATTGGGACTGAGGTTGTTACAGTTGATCATGCACACATTTATATTCCTAAAGTACATTAAGACTGCATTTGCTACACTAATCCATTGACAACCACCACCCCCTACACCTATCAAATGACTTAAAATCCACCTCTCTTTCACCCCACTCAACCCTGCCCCTTCACCTATCCAATAACAATTCCCACCCCCCTCTAACCCCCCTGCCTAGACCTATGGACTGACTTGACCTCACCCCACCATCCCCCACCACCCCCCAATTTTATTAAACCCAGATAATTGCATTAGTTGTGACAGATTGTGTTGGGTGTTCACTGGCTTCTCCCTATCCATCCCCACCTTTTCCTGAGCCATTGAGAGTACACATAGATCGTCTTAATGAGTGTGGTACTCACCTGGTGGCTCGAGCCCACCCGAATCTCTCCCTGTGTTGTAGCCAGTCTTTTGCTTTCAGGATTATAGGCGAGGACGTAGAAGAAGGTGTCCGGTGCAGGGTGGAAGTCTTTGGCCGCAAAGATGTCTGCGTGGTGTAAAACTCGGCACTTCCCTCTGAAGATAGAAATAATACTGACATGATATTTGACTGAGAGAGAGACAGAGAGAGAGAGAGAGAGAAGAGAGAGAGAAAGTCCTACTTGCCAATACACAAGCCAGCATCAATCCATTTCAAACAGACAGGGTAAGCACAGACTATGAACGCCGGATTAATAGCATAGCAATCAATGGAAGCTAAAGCCTCTTTAACTAATGCCTGTATATTCTGTTTGCACTACTACATAGGTCACTGGTATAACAGTCGTATAAAATCAATACACCAATGGACCACAAGAGCAGAGCAAATGAAAACCAGAGATTAGTCCACAATGGGCTACATTATGGGGCTATTCAGGCTAACGATCATTTAGACTTTGTCTACATTTGGTTTCATAAGAGTTGAAGCTTGCAAATTCAATTTGCACCAAATGGCTGCAATGTGTCTTTTGGGTTATTTCCCCCCAATTTTTTAATCAATGATTTTTGAGGGGAAGAGGCTGGAAAAATGATGCACCACACTACATTTATTTCCCACCCTTTTACATTTTTATTCTACATTATGTCATCTTCTGTCTAATTTTTATCTTTCCTCCTAAAAACAGAAGGGAAATAAAAGACTGTACTTCACCTCAATTCACCAGTTCATTAAGAACAGCAGATCCTAACACTTCTCTGCATTATTCAGAATAGTTACTCTTGACTGCTTCTGAATCGATCTATACCATGCATGTGTAAATACGCCTAAACTCCATGTGGAGCTCCCAATCGTTCCAAAGGCTTCCTAGTGTGACTATCGCCCCAGCATCTGTCAGTTTTCACGGCTACAAGCACCCCAGACTGACAAGAATAAGCATCCACACCACTGGGTATATAGCAATCAATAGACTTCACCAACAGAATAAGGGCTGGTATTGTCATATGTGTTATGTACACTAAGCACTGAACTGTCTGTCAGTGTAACGTTACATCAAGTGAACAATGGTATATACATTATACACTTGATAGGTGCACTTACTATCGAGCTGTCTATCAACAGAAGGTTACAATGAGGTGACACACTGTTATTTTTATCAAACGCACCTTGAATGCCATTTTATCAGCCGAGCACTGCTTCAAGTTGATTATCTAATATTTATCATTTACACTATTTAGTTTAGCCTGGAGTTAGAACAGTTTGACAGTCAGTTTAATTCATTATGTATACCCCTTATTGATCGACCGCTAATATGAAGCCACACCGAGGTGGTAGTAATGTTAGGGATTATTTTGTGGTGTAAGAAAAAAGTGGGAAGACATGGCTTGGTGACCTTTTGAACAGGCTCCCAGGGACCACTTAAGATTAAATAAATAAATAAATAAATAAATAAATAAATAAATAAATAAATAAATAAATAAATAAAAACGCTCTGAATAAGTTGGATTTCTCATTTAAATTGGAAAAAAATGCATGTTAGTTATGTGCTATGTGCCACAGGCTGGCTTCTAAACACCAATCAAATCAAACACAGTGTTACGGAACAGACGGCATCGCTAAATTTTACTACTTAGTGTGAAAAGGGCCAATTAATGTGCCTTAGGCGGGATTCTTAAAGCCATAAGATTGCACTTCATTCCGTCATCAGGAGGTTACAACAATGACACCAATCACGTCTATTTCATATTCCTTGTACGTCTGTCAACATCTCATCATGTCACAGAGAGGTGAAATTGCTCCTGGGACTGTCTTGACGACATGAGACAATGCTGGCACCTAGTGTACTGCACTGACACATAATTTTTGGATGTCTTAAATTTTGTAAAAAAAAAAAAAAATTACCAAAACAACTTGCCATAAAACAGATCTGATGCCAGGAAACTGCAAATAAACTTCTAGTCTGAAGTATGCTGCAGTAATTGATTCATTGGAAGGTAGAAGAATCCTACGGTAGGGACTGTTTTAAAACCCTGAACCTGTGCAAAACACCTAAATCTAGTCCATGTACAGTATTTTAAAGGTCTTTTCAGCAATGACTTCAAACAAGATGTTCTTTTTTTTATTCAATAGCAAACAAAATATAATCGTTCAATTTTTTTTTAGCCTATGAATCACACACACACACACACACACACACACACACACACACACACATGCACTCTCCCTTCAACCGAAATGTTGTTACCAGTTTTATCTGCAGGAAGATGACTATTTGCTAGCACACAAAGGCTATGAATTGCCACAGAGAAATTGTCAGCACTTTTTGGCTGCTAGATGATATAATATTATGAATAATAAATGTGATTTTATCAGCTTCAGGCAATCTTTTGAACATGGCTCAAAACAATACAACATCCATGGTCACATTTTGCTCTACTCAAACACGATAAATCAATCATACTTCCGGAAACGTCAGTTTGTAGTCAAATTTCAAGTAATTTGTCTCTTTACATATATCAAATATATCAAATCTCCAGTTTTATGTAGCATAACTTACCTGATGGCCTCACCCTTGAAGGTCTCTCTGTTGTCCGATATGAACAACTCTCGCAGCTTAATCACAGGGTCCTTAATCACCAGATCCTTTCCCGAATCTGAAATCAAACAAAATAACTGAATCACAAAGATAAGTTAAACATTTATAAAGTCAGATAAAAAAAGATAAATTTGTTTGTGCAAACTGATAATTGGAAACAATGCAAAGATCAAAATTCCTCTTTTTGTCACCCTTTAACCTGACAATTAATTTATTATGTCAATTTTTGTCACATTAAGATTGCTACATTTTATCACTAAGATATCATTCACATGCATTTAGTGACAGATAACTCATAAATCTGCATGTCCACGCTGACAAAGAAGTAAGTACTAGTAGAACAATGCCAATAAAATGAAATAAAACTAGCAGTGAATGATACAGTTAGCAAAAAATCTGATATATCCATTAATATAGACTGATCAGTGCTAACCAAGTCAAATTAAGCTTCCTAGAACAGAGCAAAAATTGATTTCGTTACAGAAGTGGTCTAATGCGCTTTTTGTTATTGATTATGACATCGTAAAGCCGTCTTCAGCAATGAATTAGTAGACACTTGACGTCAACATTTCATTAGGTCTCAAATGCTCTTTTGTCACAAACTAACACTTTATAATACTCACAATAAGAGTGAGCACTATAAAATACGAGTTTGTGACAAAACCATTTCATTTGATACCTTATACCATTTCCAAACTGATGAACTTATTTCAAAACCAAAATTTCACTGTCACCACAACACTACCCAAAAAGAAAGCTTTGATCAGCAAAAATGTTTCCCCTAACAATCTAGCACTACAGTTTATGGTTCTTATATACCTGAACACATTACAATCTTAAGTTACATGGATAAAATGGTCAGCCAAGAAATCCATTATTTACACTGAATCATTGACTGGCAAAAAAGACTTAAGATCACTAATCTTTTTTATCCAAACTAAATCATTTTAGCATTTGACATTTCTTTTTTCATGTTCGCGTGATGCAAATGTTTGTTCCAATGCAGCTCACCGCAGCTCACTATTCAAAAGGGGAAATAACAACTCTTCATAATCAAACATTCTGTTGTAACCAATGCCACTTAATAGCTGGCAAATGTCAAAGTTTTTTTTCAGTAACCATCAGGGGCAGAGAGAGTTCCCCACAACATCTAATAAACAGCAAGGGTGAAATTCAACTAATCATACTAACTTGTTTTGAAAGACCCAAAATAAACCCGGCTGTTTTCACAAGAGAGTCTAATTCTGCAAACACATGCCACGAGCTCGTAAAGCACAGGGATCGAGGTTGTTTTACTGAAATACGGCTGCCTATCGTTTGAAGAGAGGAAAAAAAGAGGAGAAATTGTTTTAACTTCCCTTCAGTACTTGAAAAATAGAGTCTATATATCAGACAAGATTTTACGGGGTCAACCAGGAAAGGAAGTTTTTTTTTCTTTTTTTTTTTGGGGGGGGGGGTTACCATTCATTCAGTTTCACCCTCCGATTTTAATCTAATTTTTCATTATTTAATTTAAGTTTTTAAAACAGAATGGATCTCGCTATATCATAATGTAGTGGCTTCTGTTTTAAAAGGTCTATCCTGTAAATCCAAAACCTTCAAAATCAAACATTTTCATAGATACTGAAATACTACGCCACATTCAACAAAATGTCTGCCAAAGCAAACCATGTTACCAAAATAGGTAGCTATGTGTTACCTTTAATTCATTATGTAACGAAGAGAATATTTGTTTTCAATGTCAATATATTTGTTCACAAAGTATAGTGGCTTGGTAAGAACCCCTGCTTAGACCAATCCAAGTTAAGCAGACATACAAACAGAAGGTTATGATAAATATGGTACCTGTATGGGTTTTATTGCGGCTCATACATAAGGTTACCCTCATAATTCACTAGTGAGACTGGGAGGCAGGGTAATAAAGAACAGTTAAAACACAACCTAATTTAATATTTTTTCATGTTAACATATAGTACAAGTCCGAACCAAAAGTTTCATGTCTACTTTTTCACTAAAAATTCAAAAGTGCAAAGATCCTAGATCATGCGATGAGAAAAATGCTGCTTTGAAACAATATCAATCATAAGTTATTTGCAAGTTATGCTGAAAATACTGAGAGACACAGGCTTGCTGAAATTGCAAGATATTTTTCCCACCTTTATAACATCTAACCTGAAAATTCCATAAACATTTTGAAGAACATTACTGAATTATTCTGTCCAATAACAACCAAATCAACCAACCCTGATGAATACATAACCTCCTTCACAGAAGAGGTGACAACTTGTTAACAATTCATAACCAACATGAAACAGACTGCACAGGTCGAACCGACCCTGGCGTGACCTGACCTCAAATTGACCTTCCCACGACTTGACCTCTGACTTTTCGAATGTATCATAAACCACGCACTCATTGCCCTCTGTTTTCATTTCACCAACTGTTTCCTCATTCCCTTAAAAGCCTTACAGGTTCTTTGTTTGATTGGATAATGCCATTAAACATTTTACCTTTGCTTACTATTTCCATTGCAAACTGGTTTCTCAAACCTTTGACAGTTGTACTAGTACTTTCCTGCAAAAGGGATTACATGCACATACTAGTACTTTGTTATTGTTTGCTTTTTTCCTTTCCAAACTGACCCTGCTCACTTATTTCAACACCCTTTTCTTTGCTCTTTCAAGATTTAACTAATCTTTGTCTGCATCTTATATGATTATAACTTATAATGACCTCAAATAGTTTTGTTGAGCGGTGTTATCCAGCATTTCACCATTGTTTGCCTTTTTCCTCTGGAAACGAACCTCTCTCACTCTTTTCAACACCAGTTTGTTATCTAATAAAAGATTTAACTAACCCCTGCCATTGTCTCGCACCTTCATACAGCTATCATGAACCACCATACCGTACTGCTGAGCGTCATTATAAATCTTTTCATCAAATGTTTGCTTTCAACTTAGTACACCGACTTTCATAAATCATTATTTCAACATCAGACTGTTTTATAATTTAAGAACATGACAGATTCAATAGCTCTGCACATATCTTTACAATACCGACTCCTTCAAGGATAAAATTTCACACAGGCAAAATTTATAAAGATTTGAATGATATACCACTGATTAATTTGACGAAGGAGCAGTTTAACGACTCATTTTTACAGTCAGATATTAGATTCTTTGGTCGAATCATTTGGTTAAAATTTAGTATCCCAGAATGAGCAAAGATATTGTACGGAAGTCACCCCAACTTCAATACTTTCTCAATCTACCATTTTGCAGGGGTGGGTGGGGAGGGGGGGGGGAGGGGGGTGGGGGTGGGGGGTGATCCTCGATATCTGGATATGTATATGTATGAATATTTTACATGCTGAATAGTTTACATACTAATGAAAATATCATCACTATCACATGTATGCATGTATATATAAATACTAATTAATTTTAATAACTGTCCTAACCAAGCTAATAATACCATTATTATCATCATCATAATTTTACTAATATCTATCCATTGTTTTTTTTTCTTTGGAGCAATGAGCCCACGACTGTCTGATTACTGTCTGTATTTTGATCCCTGTATTACATGTGATGATCACTTCAAGAGCTGCCTTTTGACAGCTCTATTGTAGAGCGGGAGGATGGATATCGCCTTCTCAAATGTCCAGATTACAGAGATATTATATATATGCTCATTCGACACCTGATAAGCTTTCAATTCAAGAAAAACCAATTAACGATCCAAAGCTGTCATGTCTGAACTGATGATTTGCCTGTATAATTTACCACAATTTTTTATGTATTTTCAATCCACTGGTAGAATGAACCTAATGTCTACAATACCAGTAGATAAACTCATCAGACGGAAGTGCTAAAAAAACAAAATATATTGGCAATGTTGTGTGAAATATTGGTGGTGTGGAAGACTGACACTGATACTCATTATCCTCCACAATAGCTGGGCAGGGATGAGAATGGTTATGCAATGTGTCTTGTTGGGCAGGCCTGACTATAGTCTATATACTAGTACTACAGGATTCTTTCTTATCTTCTACGAGTGTGGTTTTTGATCTGATCTCTCTCAACTGTTTCCTTTCACAGCATCCAACATCCCAGCTTATCTCTTCAGGTTGATCTCGGTACCTATAGTAACATGGCAAAGGGGGGGGGGGGGGGTCTATCAAAAAGAAAAAAAAAATCTCTTTCTGTATGTCATTTGCTAAAGCCTCAGCTACTTGGACCTAGAAAAAATGCCCTAAAACATGTCTTCCCCTTAATTACTTTTTTATCCATCTCTTTTCTTTTTTTTCTGAGAGAGAGAGAGAGAGAGAGAGAGAGAGAGAGAGGTCCTTTCTTTCATACATACCACTGACGTTAAAAATTAACCCCATTTTAACAATCTTTCAAGAACATCTGTAAAAAGAAGGCTATGGCATTACTATTTCACCATACATTATCACCTGAGAGGTCTTAACACACCTGGGAATGTTAACTAGCTCATCCTCTCTGTAAGCCATATCAGATGTCCACCGAACATAAACCTCCCATCATAATTGTACACCCGCTTGAATTGACCTTCCAGGTTTTTATCTCGGCTTGTTGAGTGAACAAATCACACATGTAATGCTGCTCAAATATTTTTGTATCTTGTAATTCATAAAAGCAAGAACAAACTGTACACAAAGTATCGAGTTACCAATTTCTTCCAGCATTCAGCAAAAAGCGTTTCAAACACTTACCTCAATTTATAAAAGCAATAATACTCCCTCTCCCCCTCAAAAACAAAAAAAAAAAAAAAAAATGAAACTGTCATAATTTTATATAGAAATATTAATTTTTCTACAGCATTCAGCAAAAATGTGTTTAATACAGTGATAGCATGCACCTATCATTTGACCCTCTTTTACTAGCTGACCATGTCCAGTGATTACAACATACACCTTTTCCTAATGTCCAAATACCTGCAAAGAGACCATAGCATGCCCATGACCCTGTAAACGACCCTGGCATGATCCCAATTATCACAGCTTAAACACATACCAGCTCCAGACTGGAAGAC